TTAAGTCAATTATACCACTACAGAGAAGGAACTATTTGCCATTATTTTTGCTTTGGATAAGTTTTGACAATATCTAATAAACTCTCAAGTGGTTGTTTTTACAGATCATGCAGCAATTCGGTACCTATTTAAGAAGCCTTAGTCTAAACCTAGACTGCTAAGATGGGCTTTGCTGCTATAGGAGTTTAATATCAAGATCAAAGATAAAGTTAGAGCAAAGAATCATGTAGCTGACCACCTTAGTCGGTTACCTGAAGGCACACAGGGAGTTGATTCTTTTGATCTTGTTATTTACTTATTTCCTAATTCTACACTTTTTGCCTTAGCTATTCATGAGCCTCAGTACTCTAATATAGTTAATTATCTTATCACTAACCTTGTGCCTCCTTCTATGTCTAAATTTCATATTGATAAGCTGAAGAGGGAGGCGAGATACTATATCTGGGATGCTCTAATCCTATGGAAGCAATGCAAAGACCAGATCATCAGACACTGTGTTCCAAACAATAAGATCCACTTTATCTTTACTTTTGCACATTCTTTATCTTGTGGGGGCATTTTAGTGCTAATGGGACTGCTAGGAGGATTTTAGAGTGTGGTTTTTATTGGTCTTCTCTATTTAACGATGCTTATTCTTTCTGCAAGTCTTGTGATAAGTGTCAAAGGTTTGGGAGTTTGGGTAGGAAGCATGAAATGCCTTTAAGACCTATGCATTTTTGTGAAATCTTTGATATATGGGGCATGAACTTTATGGGTCCCTTCCCTTCATCTTTTGGGTTTTCATACATGTTACTTGCAGTAGATTATGTGTCTTGATGGGTAGAGGCAGTGCCAACTAGAAAAGATGATGCTTCAACTGTTGCCAAGTTTTTACGTTCTCATATCTTTTGCAGGTGTGACATTCCAAGAGCAATCATCAGTGACCAAGGAACACACTTTTGCAATAGGACCATCAAGTCTTTATTGGCTAAACATGGAGTCAATCGCAAGCTTGCCACCCCTTATCACCCTCAAATGAATGGGTTAATTGAAGTCTCTAACCGAGAAGTAAAGCAAATACTTGAGAAGATCGTGAAACCATCTCGCAAGGATTGGAGTAAAAGGCTTGAGGAAGCTCTTTAGGCTTACAGGACTGCCTACAAGACCCCCATAGGCATGTCTCCCTTCCGGTTGCTCTATGGCAAGGCTTGCCATCTACTTATGGCGATTGAGCACAAATCTTATTGGGCAATCAAGGCATGTGATGTAGATCTCGAATCTTCACTTGTTAATCAGAAGATGCAACTCCAAGAACTTGAAGAAATGAGACTTGAGTCCTATGACAATGCCAGAATCTACAAAGACAAGCTGAAGATGATTCATGATAAACAGATTCTGAAGAAGCAGTTTCATGAAGGTGACAAGGTTCCAAAGTTTAAATCCGGTTGAAGCTAATGCCCAAGAAGTTTGTCATCAAGTGAGAAGGTCTGTTTAGAGTTACTAAAGTATATCCCTTTGGCGCAATAGAGCTCGTAGATAAGAAGACTGATATAACTTCACAAGTTAATGGCCATATGTTAAAGCACTACCACGAGGATCAAAGACCTCCTTGATTACACGGTTATTCCCTTCCACCCTCCTCTTTTACTTTCTGTTGTATTGTTGGTAATATCTGTTTATTGAGATAGTTAGGAGTAAGTATGGTGGAGGGAACTTTTCCACTCATTGTAGTTGTAGCTTTTTATTTCTATTGAGTAGTTTTTTGTTTTGTTTCCTCTTGATTCTACCATCTCTTTTGATCACTTGATTTATACTTGTGCATTTTCATTTCACATTATCTTATCCTATCTCTCTCTTCTCTTATCTTTGTGATAGTGACGTGTTATGCTTTGATTTTAAATTGGACTTCACAACTTCCACTTCACCTGAGAGTTTAGATTAAGATAATGTTATTTTTCTTACATTGAGGACAATGTATTGATCAAGTGTGGGGAAGGGATTGTTGTTGAGTTGTTAAGTTGATTTTAAAAAAAACAAACAAACAAACAAACTTTGCCTTTGGATTTGCTCCTGTTTCCTAAGTATTGCTGCTATAATTGCTCTCTTCTTTGCCTTACTGGTTGATTTCTGAATTGCATTGCATGATTTGAGAGTAATTCTTGCTTAGGAATTTTGTTGTTGGTTTCTGTATCCTCCTATTTTCATTCGCCTCAGTGTTTTACACTGCTGTGCGAGTGAATTGCTATTTTCTCTATTGTTGACTTGACTTTTGTAATCCTTGGGCATCTTTTTTAAAATCCTTTTGCACAATGCTTGTGAATGTTACACGGCTGAGTTTGATTGCATTTGATTCAAGTGATTTCTGTTCTTAGTTAGTTAGCATAGTAAAATGCCTTTGGTGCAGTGTTATTAACCTTGTTTCATAACTTGACCTCAAGGAGGAAACATCTTGGAGAAAGCCTTGATGGAAGCATTTTTGAGCCATGTATTCTTTCTCATCTTGTGTGATCTTTATCTAGTTTTGGTTAACCTCTAGAGCTGTCTAGATTCTTTTTCAAAGCTCCATTAATACCTAGGTTTGTGAAGATGATAGGGGCATTCATTTCTAAACCCTTTACCAACACACAAGCTACTTTATTTAACCTTTGTTCACTTTTACTTTCATTTCGCTCATTGCTTTTTAGCAAGTGTTTTGTGTGAGTCACATTTGGTTTTTTTATTTTGAAAAGTACATCATTAAAGTCTATATCTCTGCCTTCTTGGGTTTGGATGCAAAAAAAAAAAAAGAGAGAAAAAAGAATACAAAAGAAGAAAAAAATAGAAAAAGGCAATAAAGAGAAGAAAATGTATAGAAAAAGCCAAAGAAAGAAAGTTATAGGGGGAAAAAAAGAGGAAATAAGTTGCAACAAAAGAATAAAATTTGAAATAAGGCATTCAATGGTGGTTTGAAAAGTAATGATTTCTATCTCAAAAGTTTAAGATCTGCACATTGGTATTCTTTCATAATTGTACTTTAGCTCACTTTGAGTTGATACTTTATTACTCATGCATTTTACTTGTTAATTCATTTTATTCATTTGGCTATGCTTTCCAACATTACAACCTTTCAAATCCTCTTGATCATGAGTCTAAGGTATGTTAGTGGTGGAGACGTTAGAATCTCTACAAGCTTATGGTAGGTACTAATCTATGTGAATTGAGTGAAATTTTTCTCATTTGAGAGATGAGTGAAACACTTGCACCCTATGTGAGCTTTAGTATGTTTCTCTTCCTTTATCTTGCTATGTTTCTTGTATTAGTTTCTTTGCACTGAAGTATTCTATGATTATTGATTGATTAGGAATAAAGGTTGCTTGAGTTAATTGCATATTCGTGCTTAGTTGGTTTTATGTTTGCTTATATTGAGTGTCTCTGTTGGATTTTTTTTTTATTGATGTTTTGCCCAGGAGTGCAAAAGGCTAAGTGTGAGGGAATTGACAAACTCAATTATTTTTATATATTTTTGATATCTTTTATATGGGTTTGTCAACTTAACTGGTCCTTTTTTGCCTTAATTGATGGTTAATTGATTTAATATGTTTTATTTTGAATTATTATTTTATAGGGACAAAGTTATCATATTTTGGTTTAATTATGATTAATTGATTTTTAAGGACAATTAATGCTACCTTATTCTTAAATTTTGATTGCAAATTTTTGAAAGATTTAAAAGTAAAAAAAATAAAAAAGAAAATAAATAAATAGATCATAAAAGGGGGCGAGCAAAACACAGGGTTTGGCTCCCACCCTAAAATTTGATATTCATCATCATCATCTTCGTGAGCAAGAGGTGGGTGGCGGCGGAAAAAGAAAAAAAAGAAGGTGAGCAAAAGACGACGCGAGGGGTGCTTGGCATCGACGCGACGGCATTATTCATCTTCCTTCTTGAACCAGAGGACGCGAGGAGAGAGGTAGACGGCGAATTCCTCCTTTCCATCCATCACCATTGACTTCTTTGTTCCTTCTCCTCAGCGTGACAGAGCCAGCGATGAGCAAAGGCGGAAACCAGGGAGCTGGACGGCGTCATCCTTCATCAACTCTTCACCATGTTCTCCCAACGTGAACAGTATTCTTCCATGGAATCCTGTACCAAAGTTCTGAACTTGGCAGCATTTTTCATGGCTAATCGTGGCTAGAGTTTCATGATTCTCTAATTCAACAATAATGGTAGGAGCTCGGATCATCAAAGGAAGAGTTTTAGTTACTTTAATTTCCTATCCAATAATTGTTTAATAATTCCTAGATCTTAGGATAGTTATTCTGATTGTTGAAAAATTTGTGTTGTTTAATTTGATTATATTTGGAGATTATTGTGATTGGATTATTGTTTAGCATTTGACATTAGGTTGTTATAGTTTTAATTTCAATTATAATGTTGTGGTTATGACATTTGCATTGATTTTGGAGTTAATATATTGTGATTTTCTATGGTAGCTTGGAATATTAGATTATATTGTCTTTTGCTAGCTTTAATTCTATTGTTTTAGATTTAAGAGTTTTAATTAAGCATTGGTTTTTAGCATCCTTAATTTAGGATTTTGAAAAATATTTTGTGATAATTCGAGATGGCTCGGTTGCTAGATTAAAAGCTTAACTAGAATTCTCAATCCATTGTTTTAATTCCTGTATCTTTTGGAGTGAGGATTGCATGCATTGTTGAATTGGAGGATTGATTATTATCATTATTATTTGTGTGTTTCATTTTTATTTCTTTCATCTCCATTGATTTTAATCATTTTTATATAAAAAAATAAAAAAATATTTTAATTTCAATTTGATTCATAGTATTTAATTAGCAATTCATCAAAATCAAAAATCCTTTTTATAGTTTAGCTTACTTGCATTCATTTACTAGGATTTAATTTTATTTTCGGCTCCTCAAAGTGAATACGACCCGGATTGTGCACTATATTACATTATTTCGGTTAATTTTTAGAGTAACCCCAAAGCAACAAATTGAGGGTATTATTTCATATATGCAGGGACTTGTAAGGGCGTATGTGTTGAAATACAACCAATTAAATAATAATGAGGCTCTCAATCTTCCGCTTTCTGTTCTGAATGTTGGAGAGCTTGATATTCGAAGTCTTGGAGTTGAACACAATTGGCGAGTGATTGGTGATGATGAGGAACAAGAAACCAACAACTCAGGAATGTTGAGATCAGAACAACAAATGCTGGGAGGTCTTGTTCCCATCCAAGTTTTGAGCTTTCAACATCTTCATTCCTTAATTAGAAGTAACTCACAATAAAAGGTTGAAGTTTTTGTTCTCAAGGAGCACACTTGTCAACACCAGCTCTGCCAAATTGGCTTCCCTAATCTTATCCGATTGTGAAGAACTGGAGGAAATAATTGCAGAAAATGAGGAACATCATATCATGTCCAGTGATGAAGTTCACTTCCCAGAACTTGGCGAGTTGAAGGTTGAGAGGTGCAACAAGCCCAAAAGACTCTTCTCTACGTCCACGAGTATTATTCTTCCACAACTATACTCTTTGTCTATAGCTGAGGCTAATCAACTGGAGGTGATTTTTAGACACAGCAGCGAAGGTGATGCGAACTACAGTGAGGCAATTGTGCTTTGCAGCTTGAGGACAGTAGAGCTAACGAATTTGCCAAATTTCATTAGTGTTCGTCAAGGGTTGCAGATTCAGGTGCAGCTAAGCAGCATCAGCATATGGAGCTACCCAAAATTTGTGGATTTAACTTTGGGAAGGGCTCTTCAACAATTGGGAACAGTATCGGTATGAATGAATATTCCATATCATCTTGATTTAGAGTTTTCAAAATTAGATGGAATATATGTTATTAGAACCATCATATATATCATTGTGGTAGTTATATAAACTACAAAGAGATTTTCAAGGACGTGAAGAAGGAAAAAAAAATACTTGATGCACGGACACAAATAAATTTTCTTTCAATTTCAGATCACAATGGATGAAACTATATGGAACATATGTGTGTGTGTTGTGAGACTTCATTTCACCTTCTTTTAATATTTATTAAATATATTCTTTTAAAATTTTGCATATCAAAATTGTGACTACGAAATTTCACCCCAAAAAAATGGCAGTGAAAGAATAATTGCGTGCATGGCGATTCGCAAACTATTTTAATTAAAAAAAAAATATTTTATAGGAAATTAAAATAAATCAATTATAAATTGATTTTTTTTGGGCTTGTAACCATACACTGATTATATATAAACATTTGTACATCAGTAAGAGCAAGGAGTTTGCTTGTTATGCTTACAATGTATCCTTTTTTTTTTTTAAATCCAAGTTTTAAAAAAGAAACTTTGAATGCTCTAAATTTGATTGATGTGAATAAATTTGTCCTTTGTTTAAAAAAAATTGAAATTGCAATTGCTGCAGGTCTCAACCGAAGATTCAAATATTCAAACTTCATCAAATGGAGAAAAAGAATTGGCAGTAAATGAAGAAATAGGGACAGTGGTGATCTCAGGAGCAGAGTACTTGTATCTGAAGGATTCAATGAATCTCAAATCTGTATGGGAGGGTCCCGGTTTCATGGTCTTCCAAAATCTTAAGAGTTTATCTGTGAATAAATGTACAAAATTAAAGTATATGTTCCCAACCACTGTGATCAGAAGCCTACCATGTTTGTGGTCTCTAAGCATCAAAGAATGTGAAGAGACGGAGAAAATGATGTCATCAGAAGAAGAGCATCACTACTTTCCAAATGCATCCTCCTCTCCTTCCTTCTGCCTCCCACAACTTCAATATCTTGAAGTCACGAGATGCAGAAAGTTGAAATGGCTCTTCCCCTCTCTGCCCTGTACTCGCCATCTTTCGCAGTTGGATTGTTTGTGGATTGATAAGCGCTCTGAACTAAAGGGACTTGTTAATTGCAAGCTCAATATTCAGGAGGAAGGGTTTTACAGCAACATACTTCCAAACCTGACATATCCATTTATTAGCGATTGCCTCATCTTCTCCAAAACCATACTCGCGGTTCTTCAAAGGTACGCACATTTGACAAATCCATGTTTTTTTTCCTTTTCGAATTTCTTCTTTTTCTTTTTGCTGGTGTTACATTTTTTGATGCCGCACAATTGGAAATTCTGGCATGGCACACCATATAAAGTTTTGTGTCTTTTGAATTTTGAATTTATTTATAAAAAGAATTACAGTAAAGGGTAAAATTCACAAATTAATTATTTAGAATGCTTTTAATATTTACAACTCACACAATGCAGGTTCACGACATAATACAAGCTTACAACTAATAAGAACATATTTAACGTTATTTACTACTCAAATGACACAAATATACGGCTGCATTAATGAGAATTATTGTCATCAGATTCTTCCTTAGCTTAGTTATATACTGTCTCCTCCGGGATCTATCCATTTTCTTCTCAGAGAGATGTAATTGATGTACACATTTTGGAAGAACTGCTGGATGAAACATTTTGTTTTTCTTTGTTTTTGGACACATGCCGCATGTTTTCCTCAGATCTATTGTTTACTCTGCTAAATATATCTCATTTTTCTCATAATTGTGCAGTCACGCAGTGAAAATACGAAGTCATCATGATTGTCGTGTTGATGATGATGGTGACGGTGATGGTGATGGCTTATAATTTGTACAGTCTGCTTCATTTGAATGATGGCGGCATGCGATCAACATTGCAGAAGGCATTCATTTGTCTCATTTTTATTTAAATACTTTGATTTGTTGTCTACACACAAAAATACTACTTGCTCAAGTTTCAATTAACACTTTTGCCAATAGACGAATGACCATTCATTCACTTTCAGTAGTGCAATATTTTTTGTGGCGCAAAATTTATGAATTTTTATGAATAGTTTTTTTTCCTCAAAGTACTAGTACTTTTTGTAAAATATTAATATGTTGCGTATAAAAATTTACAGAGTATCAATATTTTTTATATATGTGATAAAATTTATCACATCCTTCTCGTCAATAAAGTGTTTAATGGAGGATTTTTCATAATTTTTCCCAAGGAAAAGTAGAGCTAGTCTAACCCGTCAAAAATGGCAAATTAGCCAACCTGCTAATAAATAACTCTTTTCAACCCATATTGCTAGACCTATAACTAGTAATGGGTTAGCCCGCCAACCTATAAGTCAACTGGCATTTGTTTTTTTTATTTTTTCAATTTTATTAATTATCATAATTATATTATTATATTTTATATCTTATCTAAAAATTTAAAAATACCAACATCATTTATTGATGTTTTAACTCAAGTATTTAAAGGAAAAACAAAAATTTTTATTATACTTTATTTATACTGAATAAAGAAATTTTAAAAAATAGAAAATATTTTAAAAAAATATATATAAATAATTGTGGACAGGTTGGCTAGTTAGCCCACCAACTCCCATAAAGAGTTAAGGTTGGTTAAAAACCAGCCCACCATCACACATACCTTTTTAACTTGTAGTGCCCATATTACCACTCCTAAGGAAAAGCTACCGTTTTGAGAAAATTTTGAATCAATTTGGACATAATGAATTAATGTCACTTATTAGATCCTTAAATTACTAGTAAAAGTTAAGGTGTACACTTGTCTCTAAATTATTCTTTCAAAGTAATTATTAAAAATATCAAATAATTTTATTTATCAATAAAAAATGTAACTGTTATCATTCAAAAAAACATTCACTTTAAAAAATAATTATGTTGCGATGCGGAAAAATCATCTTTGGAATTATATATATTAACATTTATACCCCTTATTTTCATATAATATTAAGTTTAAAACATCAATTTAAGATTTTAAATTAAATTACAAAAATTGAAAACACGAAAAATAAATCGTTATGATAATCATAAGATCAACAAATTATATAAAAAATAAATAAAATAATTAATATTAAAAATTTAAAAAAAAATGTATATATTTGAGCTAGGCTAAACTCACCCTCGTGCCAGCCCAAATAGTAAATGAATATGCTTGGGCTAGACGGCATTATCACATCAATGTATTACGCCGGGAGCCGTCTGAGATGGAAAACGTTAATGGATGGTAGAGACGGATTGTATGTGAAGATGAATCTTAATTACTAATCCCTTAACTACCTCAACATTGTCACCTCTCCAATGTTGACATCCCTCTTCCCTATCTCTGGTGCTTGCACTTTGCGATCGCTAGAACAACTCGCAATAAATGAATGTCATGAATTGAAGCATGTAATCGAGAGAGAGGATGGTATTGTTGACGCGTAGGAATGGGAAATTCTGTCTGTGTGGAATTGTAACCAATTAGAATCTATTTGCCCAAGCTTTTGTGTTCAAGGTTTTACACAATTAAAATCTTTATTCATAAAAGATGCTCCTCAGTTGAAATTTGTATTTGGTGAAGCAACATCAATACGTGATGGAATGGAGACTAGGATAGTGCTTCCATTTTAGAAAATTTCAGATTAGAAAACCTCCCAAATCTAGTCAGAATTTGTCCAGAGAGCTATCATCTATTGTGGCCATCTCTAATGAAAGCAGGATGTACAAACTGTCCAAAGATAGAATACTTCATTTGATTCTCTCATTATTGGTTCAGAACTATAGGCAACCACGTCAAAATATGGTATGCGTTTACTCTTTGATGCTTCCATTTGATTTTCATAATATGTTGAAGAATACAGAGAATTAGTAGTTTTCTAAATATCTTAGTTCATGTAATTTTTTGAGGTATGCATGAAAATAACAAGTAGGATTATCAAAAGATCGCCTTACTTCAATAATACATCTTTATGCCCTTTGAATTTTTTATAGATGTATTTGAAAATAAGCAATCAAGGAGGTCGATAAATCCCTATCTTATTAATTTTTTATCTCTTATTATGAGATTTTTTTGGGCATAATTAATTGTTAAAATACATATTTGGATCACAAGGCTATTTTGAAAATTAAACGGATTAAATGCTATATTTTGCTAATAACTATGCATCTTAAAAATTTTCTATTTATCTGGACATATGATCCTACCTTTAGTTTGAGTTCTATATTGGAATTAATTCTTAAAGTTTGATTGTTTTAATGGTTTCATTATGGGCTAGATTAAGTCGAGGTTTTGAGCCACACAACAGCCATAAGTTTGGATTGGATTGTGCAATTTAAGTGTTTTCATATGTTAATATATACTTTTAGTCTGAGTTCTATATTGGAATTAATTCTTAACGTTTGATTGCTTTAATGGTTTCATTATGGGCTAGATTAAGTCGAGGTTTTGAGCCACACAACGGCCATAAGTTTGGATTGGATTATGCAATTTAAGTGTTTTCATATGTTAAATACTCCTCCGGTCCTTAATATAGAACCCAATTCTTAAGTTAGTTTTGGTCTTAAATATAAGACTCATTTATCACATTTATCAGTTTTCTCTAAATTACCCCTATGGATACTCTCTCAACCATAATCAAGTATAAGAGGAAGAAGGGGTATTAAGAAAGATGATTATGGTATTTCATGAAAAATATGTCACTTTTCTTATAATTAACTAACTTACCTAACTTTTTTAATCTAATCAAATTAGTTAAATGGGTCTTATATTAAGGACCGGAGGAGTATATACGTTTAGTTTGAGTTCTATATTGGAATTAATTCTTAACGTTTGATTGTTGAATGAGTTAATTGTTTAGAGCTTGCTTGAGAAATATATTGATGCTTATGTTTGTATTGTAGTTGAGTTCTTTAATGTTGTCTGTTCTAGCATGTTAGGGCTAGATCATTCCATTGAATTGAACTCGCTAAAAGCAAAGAATTACATCTAACCCATCTCTCTATATTTTTCTTTTCAAATATTTATGCTTGCATTACCCTTTTGTCTCAATAAAACAATGAATTTTTATTTCCAAAATTACCCTCTTCTCTCAATTGTTTTGTCCTTTCACAAACAAGTATCTTGCACATCAGATTTAAGAGATAGATGTTTTGAGGAAAAAAAGAAGAATTCTAGAAGCTACCCCATAATCATACCAGACGTCGTCCTCAAGCCGCGATATACCTGAGGGAGTCATATGCCTCCGTTTCACCTTCCTCAGATGGTTCAATATATCCTCGGCCAGAGCTAATTTTGATAAATATAATCCCATTATGAGTTCGTGAGTAATGCCTTTGTCATTTTTCCCCCCAGTAACTCTGCAGTTTGATCCGAATTTTAGTTGCCATGTAAATCATCAAGTACAAAATATACATACATACACACATGTATATATTTATATATATATATATTAAAGTATACTTTCAGTCTCTTAATTTTATATAAAATTTTAATTTAATCATTAAAAATTTTTTTTTTTGGGGAATGAAAAGGAAAGATTACACTTGAAAGGAGAAAACAAAAGAGCTAGCGACTATGCTATGTCATCTCTAAGATGAGATAAATATTCGTTTGATTGATTCATTTTAAAAAGTATGTTTTAAAAACAATGATATTAAAATCTTGAATGTTAATATATTAATTTCAATTTTTGAAATTATCATAACTGTCACAAAAATCATTATTTAATGCTAATAATTTTAAGGCTAAGGAACTAAAAATATATTTTTCAAGGTTAGAAAGTCAAACTAAAAAGAAGAACCCAATGTATCCTTTTGCCTATATATGTCTGGTTGGATAATCTTACTGGCAACATCAATAAAGGATTCCATCCATTGTAATCTGATCTGAGACAAACAAATGTTACGTGAATGACAAAAAGGAGGGGAATACAATCACACAAGCTTCAGAATTACAGAGCACATATTTCTTAATATTACTCCCGGTTCTTAATATAAGAGCTAGTTTGGTTTTTAATTTAATTCTAAATATAAGATTCACGTTTATTTTGTTTCTCATATTTATCTATTTTCAAAGTAGTCCCTATAGGAGTTACACATCTTAAAAGCTTTATTAAATAGTACTTAGAAACATTACATTACATGTTAATATGCAATAAGACTGGCAATTATCAGTACACCCAACGCATATATCGAGGCCTAGTACGTGACGACAATCTTGCCAATAGAGAGAAAGATGGAAAAGACAAAAAAAGACAGGAGAAAAGGATATAGAATTAAAAATTTGGAGGCGTTGTCCCTATCATGGGGGATGTCTATATCTTTTTTATTATCTCTAATATCGTGTCTTGTCTTCATGATCTCACAATTATCTCATACTATTGTATAATTTGTAAATTCTATTGAAGTTGTAAAGTCATGTCTATAAATAGATGGTGTATATCATATATTAAATATCTTGAATGGAATGAGAAATACTCTTATCTTTTCTTGTCTCTAACTCTTTATTCTTCTTTACTTTTTCTTTAATTTTATAACAGTTCCGTTCATTTTCATTAAGTTTTGACAAGTAAAATACTGAACGGCACGGCGTGATAGATATACGGTAGATCAGCATATTACAAGATTCCTGTAATTTTGAATCTCTTCGTCAAATATTAAGAAAGTATATGACCACTGGGTGCTTAGAATATAACCTCGAAAAATGAGTAAATGCGATACACATTGAAGAATAAGGGTAATTTTGAGCGTTTATGACAAAGCAATATTAACTTAAAGGCAAATTAGTTAGTGCACAATTTAGAGATAGGTAAAATTTGTCAACAAACTCGGCCAACTATTGATGAGCGTCACTTCAAGTTGTAGGCAGCCACTTATCACTTTGTAAAACAAGTAAAGTGCAACAGAATAAAACAAGCAAGGCGATTGTTAACAACAAAAACAAGAGATCGTCAATAATTTTTTTTCTTTGGGAATAAACTGCTTATTGATAAACTCAACCACTTGTCAACAAACTTTCAATAATACTACCTTCGATATTTAATATAACAGTTAGTTTGACTTTTAATTTGATTTTAAATATAATATCTCAATCTACTTTGTCTTTGATATTCATCCATTTTTGCCAAAGTAGTCCTTATAACAGTTGTACATTTTAAAAGATCTATCAAATAGTAGTTTTAACTAATCTACATGATTGAAAAGGGTATTTTAAGAAAGACAACACTTAGTTATTACAAATAACTAACTTAACTAATTTTCTTAATATTTTCAAATTAGTCAACTAGGTCTTATATTAGGGACCATAAGTAGTATCAAGAAAGATGTGATTGTCCACAAAAATACATCATTGGAAAAAGAATGAATAAGATTAAGTTACGAAGACCTTGACTCTAACAAAGGCTTTTTTTTTTAAAACCTTTTTGATTTGCTCTGTTATGAATTCTTAACTTGGTTGAAAATTTCTAGACCAGATAGATCCATGTAACTCTTCAATCTTTTGTAGATTGATTTCATTCTTTAGCCTCATTCTTTCAATTAACTATATATTTTCATTTTTGCAAAACAATCTTCTCTATATTTTGTAATCATCAAAACATGAAAATCTAACATTTTCTTCTCCTTTTTCTTTTTCGAATGACAACATGGTGATGTAACGAATTAGCACTAGAGAGACTTGCTGCCCCTCAATCTGTGCACCAACATGATTGTACCTCTCATTAGTTTCAAAAGCAAAATCATAATTCATTAACAAATGATTTTATTTTATGAATAACAAATGAAAAAATTCGAAGAAATAAAAGATGCACCAATGAACGTTTGGCACTATAGTTGGATTGTTAGGAAAGGCAACTTCGACTCCGTGGTCCAGAACTTCCAAAAGACACAGTCCAAATTAATTTATTGATCTTTGTGAGTAGGAAAGGAATTACATAAGATTGCGTATTTTGGGGTACAGAAAAAATTGGAAAATTGAAAGCAATTGGGTTTATTTGGGCTTTATTTAGGGATTTTTTATTTTCACAAAACTGTGATATTAAAATTGCTTTCTTTAAAAAAATTTTTGCAAAATAAAAGTTTTTTTTACTTTGGTTTAAAGTAGCTTTCTTACTATAATTTAGGGCTAACAGTGGTTGTTGAATTATTAATTAATTAGATTAGATATTGTGTGATCTTCCAATTGCTTTTGTTTGTGCTTTAGCTTACAAGCCTGGATGAACCCATCTGAGTGCCCAAATAAAATATACTAGCCACTTCCGTTTGTTTAAGGCATATATTAATGGTAGTGGGATTAATAGTGGAAAAAAACACTAACAATTATCACTTCCTGCCAATTTCTTTATCTATTAGCCTTTTTCCTTTTACAAAAAATGAACTTTTAATTTCATAACACCAGTTTACTTTAAACTGTTACATAAGGTTTCAAACGTCCTTGGCTTAATTGACATCGCCTTAAGTTTTTTATTTGAACATAGTGGGTTCGACCCTCCATAAATAAATATAACAAGTGGGTGATTTCCTTCCATGAAGGATGGGGGGGGGGGGGAAAGGTTTCCAAATGGAGTTGGTAATCAAGCACTAGGAATCCGCGCCAATGTTACTTAATATTCTAATCATGTAGGATTAGCTGCAATGCGTATTTCTTTGACTTTTTAACGCTTTTAGTTATATTTGCATTTGGTTTAATCTGTCTAGATGTGATTTTAAAATATTTTAGGTTTCGATATAACAAAAAATAGTTCATCGTAAAAATGATTTTCAAAATAATTAAAAATTATTTGAGAATAATTTTTCAAAATATCATCGAAGTGGTCACTGAGAAAGACCCATGTAAAGAATATTGACAACCTGATGTCCGCTACAAAAATTAGGGTTACTCGGGACTAGTGTGGTTCCTTATTTTGAAAATAATTTTTTATTTTTAAAAATAAAAAAATCGTTTAGTAAGTTGTTTTTTAAAAAAAACTGTAATATGTTTTTACAAAAAAACAATTTTTATATTTTTTTATGTTTATATTTTTTGTTTTGAAAAATTAGAGAAACCTCCATCTCTTCTCACCCCGCCCGCCATGTATCACTGCCAATAACGGGTAACATTTGTCAAACGTGATTTTTTGTTTTCTTATTCCATATTTTATTTTTTGAAATAATTATCCAAACATATTTTTTATTCTCAAAAATTGTTTTAAAAAATAATTTTATAAAATTTTTTTGAGGGAAAAAAATCAAAGAATAGAAACAAAACAAGCCCTCTCTTTCTTTTGTTTTTGCACATGTATTTAAATTTCAATTTGTCTAGAGTACATAATATGTGATATTAATTTTATTTTTTTATTTATGCATATAAGTAAAAATATAGAAAAAGAAAATTACTTTTTTTTTAATAATATAGCTTGATCTTTTTGTCCAATGAGAAGATAACATAAAACCTTTAATATGTGGTCTAACGCGGATTGATTAGAGTTGGAATGTTGGATAAATGAAATACAGGGATTGCAAAATTCAATAAAAAAGAAGCGTTCGAATATTAGGAAAAAGATTTTTACAAAAAAGGGGGAAAAAGCAAGGCAACATCATTATAATCCGAATTAATGTGATTTGAAGTATTATATTCTAGTTGCTGGTTGTTGGCAAAAAAAAAAGAAAAAGAAAAAGAAAGCTGTTCGGAACTTCGGATATTCTTTCAAGTAGTTTTCAACCTGGGTTTAACTCCCAGGTTTCAGTTTTGTTTTTCAATTTTAAAAAAAAATGTCTTTTCAGTTTTCTAATTATAATATTGTTAATCTCATTAATAAGAAATACCAATATTAAAAATATTAAATATTGGTATAATATTTTCAAATACTGGCATATTAAATCAACTTTTAAAATAACAATGAATGGCTCATGGAAAATTATATTCGACCTAAAAGCAATGTTAATGTTTTTGGACAGAGATGGCTATTGGAGAACCCTAATCATCAGATTTCTGGATCACCAACCACCGATGCTGAAAAGCTTTTGAAGGTGGGAGATCCAATCTCTAATGGCGCTTGGAATTTACAATTGATTGCCCAGAATCTAACTGATGCAGAAAAGAATTGGATCACGAAAATGAAGATCCCAGAAACAAATGATATAGATGTTCCTGCCTGGTTATCTTGTAAGAATGGAGGTTATACTGTTAAATCCGGCTATCGGTTTGCTATAAAAAAAAGAAGAAGAAAAGGCAGTTTTGTCGCTACCTGGTAGCTCTTATAGTGTCCCTACTCAGCTTTGGAATTGCATTTGGAGGTTACAGGTTCCGCCTAAAATAAAACATTTTATTTGGAGACTACTAAATGGGGCTACTGCAACTAAAGATCGATCTCTTATTGCAGCATCATGTTGGGGTATTTGGAAAGCAAGATGAATTTGTTTTTCAAGAGATTCATATTGATCCAACGAAAGTGATCTTTTCAGCATCTTTGTTGGCAAATGAGGTGTAAAAGTACTGAAATTACTCACGTACAGAGGTGTAGTGTTAATCATATGCCAAGGGAATTATCTTGCAAAGCACCTACATATGGTTCAATAAAAATAAACTTTGATGATGCTTTCAGTAAGAATTCTACTTGTACTGGAATTGGGATTATTTATAGAGATCATAATAATGGTTCTTCTCTGGCAGTGTGCGTAAGAAAGCTGTGGCAACTTCTCCCTTTCATTCTGAATCTTGCTCTTAAGGATGCTATTCTCTATAGTGATCAATTTAATTGTTCTAGGATTTATCTGGAGACTAATTGTCAAGAACCATACAGGGCTTTTGTTAGCAAATCTTCATGTAACATAGAATGGCAATGTATTGATATATTCGCTGACATTCTTGGTTTATTGAAGGCAGATCTCATGTTCAGCTCACTCTGGCTTCAAGGCGTGGAAATAGTGCTGTAGATTATTTAGTAGTTTGTGCAAAGAATGGGGGTGGCTTCCAATGGAATGCGTGTTACGGCACCATCTCATTTTTAGCAGATTTTGGACAATGATGCTGCCAAATAGGATTTCCACAATTTATTTGAATAACTTTAAATTATTTGATATTATTGAAACCCATCTGGAAGACGTTATCTTCGATGAGGAATCGGAATTATCAATCATGTTATCCTTGATAATTCATAAAACATCTTTTTAACAATCTAATGTTACAGGCCTTGTGGGGATAGGATAGCTTTCTTTCATTAATAAAATGTCTTTCTTGCTAAACGAACACAAAAAACAATGAATGAGACAGAAAATCATCATTTGATATATAGAGAAGAATGAATGGAATATTGAAAAATGATATCACAGATAATTAATTTTCCTGATAAATTAATGCAAAATAAAAATTCTGAAATAAAAAAAAAAATCATTAGATTGCTTTTTCACTTTGAACATTTGGTCGAAAAGCAGCTGGAAAGCAAGTGGTAGGGACATGGAGTCCTCAAACGTGTAATAACAATTAAGTCTTGGAACGCATGATTACTTTAACATTTTCAAATTTGATTTCATATTTCGAGGACTATGGGAACTTGCTCACTTTTAGAAGAAAAAAGAAAGAGCACTATCATATCCAACCGAACTGACCACTGAAGCTCAAGAAAAGCGTGGTGATTGCAGTGGAATTCTGTTCATCTGGCTAGCACCCTCCAAAATTTAATTTGCAAGGCCGGAATCATCAACTCAATGGTGGAAGCTTAAATATCTGGTATCAACATCAAAACCTCTTCTTCTTTGTCTCTTTAATTAGTCTTTCACTTTCTGATCAGTGTTTTCTATTTCTTATATACCTAATTAATTGTCTATCTGCTATCACACTTTCAATTCTCAAAGTATATATGAATGGTTAGGATTTGGAGATGTTACTCCCACCTAGCAGGTTCCAACTTATTTGACGACTCAATCTCTCTCAAGATCTGGTCCTCTCAGTGCAATTCTGTCCTTCTCCCTCTTGAAAATCTACAAGCCAATACTGAAAGTGCAAGTTCATCACTGGTATGAAGCAATGTCCCTCTCTTGATTCGGAGTCTCACTTTCCCACTTGATTCTTTCACTTCTTTTTTTCTTTTGGGCTCTTTTAGTCTTCCATTTTCTGATCAGTAGTGTTTTCTATTTCCTATGCTTTTGTTTCTATCTTTTTTTTTTTGGGTGACAACTTATGTTTCTATCTTCTATCACACTCTTAATTCTCAAAGTATGGGTGCTAGGATTTGGAGCTCTCACTTACCCACTGCATGTGTTGCTTGTTTTTCTTTCAACATGGCACTGAAATGAGCTGGAAAACGTAGATTTATTTACTCTAGTTTCTAAAAGCTTAGATCTTATAGCAAGAAAGTTACTCCCTCGGGTCGTTTATAACAAATTTATGTCACATTGGATGTTGGTTTTTTTAGAATATCTTTTCTAATTATGTGTATTATAACTATACCCTCCCCTCTTCCTCTGTGTAATATACTTCGGGGGAAAAATTATACAATCTAAAACATTAGGTAGCTACTCTAGTATCCAAAAATATTCCCTCTAGTCCCTATTATAATAGAATCCATACCCTCATTAATTACACTAGATTCCAACGTTATATTAATTTTTGTTCTCTCACTACCTTTATTAAATACAGGCATATACGGGGAAAAAAGTATGTAATACTCACTGAACCTATCAAATGGCCTTATAAAAAAGATCAAGAATTTTTTTCTAGCTAGAAGGGCTCCTTGAAGAAATATGCTCGGATTAATTAGTTAATATTATGTTTTATTTGCTAATCCCAGCATATTTCTGCACTCCTATAATAAGTACTAGAGGGAGTAGCTTGAAAATGCTCAGATCTATCACATAGCGAGAAGGTTACAATAATTGATCTTTCTTATTTCCATCGTGATGATATTGACAAGAACGATTATGTAATGCTTCTATTCTACATTGTGTAATACATGAATATCCTGAGTTTTGGGGAAAAAAGTTATCTAAAAAAATAGATAATAAATTAAATGTGGTTCCCTACAATGACACTATTTTAAAGATTTTTATTCTTTTGGACTGAATACTGTATATTTCTATGGAAATCACATGAACTTTTATTTAATGCTGATATTGATTTGCACAAAAAATTTTAGATGTAAATAATAAATTACGAGATGCTCACCTTCAGTTTTAACTAAGAGGGATTTTTCTTTATATTGAAGATTAAAACCCACAAAATTATTTATTAAAAGTAATAAAAATTTGTCTCATTTACTATTTATTCCATGGAAAATCTCCATAAGTTTCGAAAATAGAATGTATATGTATAAAATTTTCATAAAAATATGGGATAATTAACTTTTGGATCCTCATAGTTTCATCTTATTTTTAATTAGGTCCTTATAAAAATTTTTCTTTCTGTCAGGTCATTTTCCTTTTATGTGTTTTTAATTAGGCTCCTCTATTTTTTTTTTCTTTTTTTATCAAATCCTTATAGTTTCACTTATTTTTTAATTAGGTCCTTTGCAGTTCTAATAAAATCATTTATTAATTTTATTCTTTAAAATTAATTTTATTTTTAAATTAATAATTATATAATTAGACAAAATAATTGATATAATCATTTAGTAATTAATAATTAAGCAGAATAATCAATTATACTTAATTATAAATTACTTATAATTATATTCTAATTTTGGAAAATTTTATTATTAAATAATATAAATGTTTAACTAAAAATTTTAAAAAATATTAACATAAGATTGTTATAATAATTTATTATTTATAGAATATCATTATTTATAGAAGAAAGAATAAGAACTACAAGGATCTAATTAAAAATAAAGTAAAATAATAAGGACCTAATAGAAAGAAAAAAATTATAAGGACCTGATTAAAAACATGTGAAAATATAATGACTTAATAAAAAGAAAAAAAATTATAAAGACCTAATTAAAAACTGGTTGAAACTTACTTGCATATTAATTATCCCTAAAAATATTTACGCGAGTACATTGGTATATAGCATCAATTATAAAACAAAAAATCAAAAAGTAATTTAATGTCTTAATTTTAAAGTATAAATATAAAGCATAGATACTTACAAAATGAATTATCTCTCTATCTTGCCCCTTAATTTTCTATTTCTCCAATTTCTCAGTAAGGCAGAAACAAAATTAATATTGTTGGCGCAGTTTTCAGATCATTTACTGAAAATTAGTCTGTTCTTGAGCTGGTCAAGAATTTTTTTTTTTTTGAATTAGAACGAGAATATAAGGATAATACTGAGTCTTTTGATTATTTTTTTTTGGGTCATAGAGTCTTTTGATTTATCGTAAAGAATGTTATAATGTTATTCAAAATAAAATACACTAATTACCCTTCTAATTTAAACAAGTTATAGAAATCTCTCGTTGCTCTATTTTGAAAATATATGCTACAAAAACCTCTTTTATATATTTGAAATTTTATTTTCACCTATCAAATCACTAGTTGATTATTAAGTTTGACTCTTAAACTTTGATTTTATCAAAATACCCCTCCTTAACTTAAGAATTATTTAAACATTTATATTTATCAAAAACTAATTTTTTTAAAAACTAAATGGTTTTTTTTCCAGAAGGTAAAATCCCTACCATAAGTAACACTTGGTGCTTGTACAAAAACTAATTATCTTTCAAGAATAGCATCTGATATTCGTTCGAACACGGTTTGATTTACGAAAAATATACCACTAAGATAATTACGGCCAAGGGGTCAAATTATATGAATAAAAATTTCTTCCAGCAACAGGATCTAATTAGCATTGACATTCATGTTTTATGATCAAATCAACGAAAAAATGAGTCAAAATGATAGTTTTTTCTTTTCTTTTTTACTATAAAAAATCTAAGATGACATTAGTTGAGTCCTACATCCCAACCAACTTTGTCTCTCATATTTATTTATTTTTTTTGGAATATAGTCATTGTAGTGGTTGCACATATTAAATGTTTCATTAAATAATAGTTTTAGATAATACACATGATTAGCATTGAAGTTATTTTATGAAAGACAATGCATATTTATTATAAATAATTAACTCAATAAACCTCCTTAATCTACTCAAGTTGGTCAAACTAGCTCTTGTATTAAGGACCGGAGGTAGGAGATCATAGTTTAAAGAGAGCTAACTAGTATATTTACACATATCCAACAATGAATCTTTTTTAAGTCATGTATAAATAATTTCTTCACATTCAAAAACTAGCAATAATTTTTTGTCACTTTTGAATAGTAAAAATGATGAGATTGCTGCTTAAATTTTGAATGTTGGATCGTTGGGACATGAACGGCGTGATTTGTGGTCCAAAGAAATGGAAAATGGACAACACTTGCTGATTAAGGCTTGAACCATCTTATCAACGTACTATTCTTCTCACTGTTGAAAATCTACAAGCCAAGACTGACAGTGCAAGTTCATCACCGGTATGATGCAATATCCCTCTCCTCATCAGAGACTCATTTTTCCCCTCTTTATTCTTTGGGAAAATTTTTCAAGCACATTTTATATCTGTCAATTCTCAAAGTATGAATAGGTTGTTAGTTGCAGGCTACTTTTTTCTTCTTTCTTTGACCTTTAATTTGGATCGATCTGCTAGGAAAAAATAGAATCATAAAACAGTACTAAATTTGTTAATCTGATATCTAAACATTGCTGAACCAAAACAATTAATCTTTCTTATTTTACTCAGGAGAGGAAAAGAAAATTCTTTTCATCTTTGATGATGCATCTTCATGAAAGATTAAGTATATAATTAAGGTGCTCCAATTCTTCAAAATGAAATTTTGAGTTAATCATTTGATGATGATGAGTGATTCTCCTTTCAGGTTGAGGAAAAGAATATTCTTTTCATCTTTGATGATGCATCTTCATGAAAGATTAAGTATATAATTAAGGTGCTCCAATTCTTCAAAATGAAATTTTGAGTTAATCATTTGATGATGATGAGTGATTCTCCTTTCAAGTTGAGGAAAAGAATATTCTTTTCATCTTTGATGATGCATCTTCATGAAAGACTAAGTATATAATTAAGGTGCTCCAATTCTTCAAAATGAAATTTTGAGTTAATCATTTGATGATGATGAGTGATTCTCCTTTCAGGTTGCTATTATTAATAATAAATGGCTGAGGTCGGAGCGTCAGTAGCAGCAAAACTTGCTGAATATTTGGTGCATCCAACTTTACAACAGCTGCAGTATATGTTCTATGTTAGCAAGATCACCGGAAACGTTGAGATCAAAAAAAGGAAGCTAATACTAAAGCAGGGAAAGGTGCAAGAATGTGTTCAAGAGGCCATCAATAGGACTGAGAGGATTGATGGTGAGGTTACCAAGTGGAAGAATGACGTGAATAGCCTTATAGCAGAGGTGGAGAAACTGGAGGAAGAACTAAGGGCCAACAATGGTTGCCTTCAAGGGTGGTGTCCTACTTGGAGGAGATATTGTCTCTGCAAAATGTTGGCTAAGACAACTCAGAGGATGATTGATCTAGATATAAAGAGTGATCACTTCAATCCATTTTCCCATCCTGTTACTATTTCTGATATTGACTATCACTCTTCTCAAAATTTTAAGCTCTTCAATTCTACGCAAAAGGCTTTTGATCAATTGTGGGAGGCACTGCAAGATGATGGTAACTCCATGATTGGGTTATGGGGGATGGGAGGGTCAGGGAAAACCACCTTGGTGAAAGAAGTGGGAAAGAAAGCCAAAAAGTCACAGCTATTTGATCGAGTTGTGCTCACGACATTTTCTCAAAGCCTAGACATAAGAAAAATTCAAGGTGAAATTGCTGACACGTTGGGGCTTGAATTGAAGGAAGAAACCGAAATAGGCAGAGCGAAAAGAATAGCTCTACGATTACAAAGTGGAGAACGAATTTTGATAATACTAGATGACATATGGGCTATGCTGAACCTTGAGGACATAGGGATTCCCATTGAAAGAAATCATCAAAGAAGTTGCAAGGTTATCTTGACCACGCGTCGTCTAGATGTGTGTACCTTGATGGAATGCCAAAACAAGATTCAACTTCATTTGTTAAAAGAAGATGAAGCATGGACTTTGTTTCAAACTCATGCCAATGTTGATGAAGCTGCTAAGGAATGTGTGGCACGAGCAATTGCTAGGGAATGTAAAGGCCTACCTATTGCAATTGTAGCTGTAGGAAGTTGCTTGAAAGGCAAAGGAATTGATGAGATGAATATAGTGTTGTGTAGGTTGAGAAATGCAAAGCCAAACAATATAGATAAAGGTGTGAGGGATGCTTTTGCTTGTCTTGAATTAAGCTATGATTTTTTGGCAACTCTAGAAGCCCAGCGGTTATTGCTAATATGTGCTATGTTTCCTGAAGACCATGACATTGTTGTTGAAGACCTTTTTAGATATGGAGTGGGATTAGGCCTATGCAAAGATGCAGACTCATTTCAAACAGGGAGGAGCCAAGTTAGAGCAGCTATAAATGATCTCATTGACTCCTCATTGTTGATGCATTCTTCTCTAAAGTTCAACGTGCATGCACCAACACATGTGAAATTACATGATATGGTTCGTGATGTTGCATTGTGGATAGCATCTAAAAAAGATGGTAATATTATGGTAAATTGTACAAAAGAATTAAATGAGTTGATTGTTGACGAAGTGATAAAAGGTTGCTATGCCATATCTTCATGGCATGAAAATAATGAATTACTTCAATTTCCTTCTCAATTGGATGCCCCAAAACTTGAGTTTCTATTGTTATACTCAAGGGAAACCTTAGATATATCACATGAATTTTTTGAAGGTACTAAAGGACTCAAGGCTTTGATTATTATGTGTGTGGATTGGGATAGGATTAAACTACAACCTTGTTTAATCCAACACTTGTCAAACCTTCGAACTTTGAGATTGCAAAATTGGGATTTACGTGACATCTCTTTTGTAGTAAGCCTTATAAGACTTAAAATTCTTGACTTGCAATTTAGTAAATTTGAAAGAGTACCGAATGGAATTGAAAAGTTGAAGAAGCTGAAGTTGTTAGATTTGTCAAGTTGTACAATAGATGAATGTTGTTATGATGTAATAGGAAAATGCTCACAGTTAGAAGAGTTGTATGTTCCCACACATTCTCGACACTCAAAAAATACAAATTGCTATGAATACCTTGTGGGCCACACTGGTTTGATGTATTTGAGAAGGTATAATTTAGAAATTAGGAAGCACGGCGGAGGCTTCGTATTTAAGGGTGAACATACAAGATTTTACGCTTGGGTCAGTTAAATATCTCTATATTGTTACCCACAATAATCAAGCATCTTGCACAAAGAGCAACCAAGATTGTATTTTATGAGCTTGAAGGAGGTAGCAAAAGTTTCATCCCTGATATTGTCCAAGCTGTAGGAGGCATGAAGGAGTTGAGTAGACTCTGTCTTCAAAGATGTTCAAAGATTGAATGCATTATTGACGAAACTACTCTTCACGAAGATGCAGTTGTCCTCAAATTGAATGAGTTAGTGCTAAGAGATATGGATAATCTTGAACGACTATGTCGTGCTCCTTCTCCTTTTAGCTTGTTCGAAAAGTTGGAAAGATTAACCATATTCAACTGTCCTCAGTTGCTCCACATATTCCCTGTCGACTGCAGCTTAGGCAATCTTAAGGTTCTCAATGTTAACAAGTGTCCAATGTTAACATCTCTCTTTCCTGTCTCTGCTGTTTGCACACTGCTATCCTTAGAAGAGCTCCGAATAAAATGTTGCAATGAATTGAAGCACTTATTAGATGAAGATGGTGGTGTTGATGCATGGGTGAGTTTGAGATTCTCAAAATTGAAAATTTTGTATGTTAGGAATTGCTGCAATTTAGAATCTGTGTGCCCGGTCTTCTTAGCTCAGAGATTTGTACAATTGCAAGATCTATCGGTAATAAATGCTCTACAGATGAAATCTTTGTTTAGTGAAAATGCTGGTGAAGAAGAACCAATGTTTGATCACGATGAGACCCAGATAGTTCTTCCTCTTTTAGAATATATCAACCTGAAAAATCTTCCAAATCTTGTCCAAATTTGCTCAGAGGTATCATCCAAGGTGTCCATCTATAAAGACAATAGAATGGAAAGACTGCCCAAATATGGTAAGCATTTGCCTCCCATGCTGTAATTAGATTTGCAAAAAATGTTTAAAAAGACTAATTTTTTAATAAAAAGATATATTTTGCTCACGTGATTAATTTTTTTTAACATGCATTAAATAATAAATAATGTTCAAGTGAGCACATTTTGGGAGATGATTCACTCAATTAACTCATTCATGTTTTGTTATCTAGAATAAGAAATAAAATTAAAATATCTAAAGACATTAATAAAAATTGGGCTGTGTCTTGCAAAACATTTCAATGCATGGATAATCCAACAATTACATTTTGTCATTTTGTATTGTGGTCATTCGATTTATTTATCATTTCAGCATCCCACAATAAACATCGACTCTTGTGGGCCCCTCATTATAATTTTTCCTTGACTTCATTGATTACGAAATCCATTTTCTTATATATGCCTATGGTTGATCTTTATTTGTTTAATTTACCAAAAAATTGATAGACTAAGTCTATGCAATAATAATACATGTGCATATGGAATTTTAATTTATCCCAATTTATCATTTTTAGGAAATATATTAATGATTTTCATTTCCTTTTCTTCCTTTTTTTTTCCTTCTTTCACAAAGGAATTGAAGGAACTTAAAGGCCATCAATTGTGGAATGAAGAATACAAGTCATTGGCAACTATAGAAAGGAAATTGTGGAGTAGAATCCATTTTAAACCACCAGACTGGGGTTGAAGGACAAATTCCAACATTTCAATACCTTAAAGAATTAACTCTGGAAAATTCCGCAAGATTAAAATTTGTCTTTTACGCTCATATCTTTCAAAGTCTCCCAGGGTTAATTTCTGTAAACATATCTTGTTGTGAGGAGTTGGAGGCAATTTTTTGGGGACATGAAGAGACTGATAAGAATCCACCCGCCACTGAATCTTGTCTGCTGAAATTGAAGAGGGTGGAGATCTCTAAGTGCAACAAGCTTAAATTCCTTTGCATGCTCGGTGCTGCTACCTCAATGCGTCCACAACTAGACACTCTAATCATATCAGATTCTTATCAAATGGAACAAATTTTTAGATGCTCAAATATTGAAAATCAAGGCATTGACAGTGAAAAGGAGATTTTGCTCCCAAAAATGAAACTTATGAAACTTCAGAACTTGCCAAGGCTTGTTAATGTCTGCCAAGGGTTTAAGTTGCAAACATGGGAGTTTTGCACTGTTGAGGTTCATGACTGCCCAAGACTTGTGCCAATTATGAGTGCAATTATTGATTGGACTAAAGAGGTAACTAATATTCTACGTTTGTGTTTCTCCATATTGCAAATCTTGTCTATGTTTTATTTTGCAATATTGATTAAATTCATGGCGGCTAGCAGAATAGTACTGTTTTGTTCATTTTTAAGCTCATAAAGTCCGGTCTAACACTTTCATTCCTTTCACATACATAGGCACAAGATATTTACATACAAAAGCTGGATGGGAAGCAAATCGTTCTGCATTTCATACAATATTCCTTTCTACTTCTTTACATGTATCTGTTTGTGATGTACTATCATACATGGAACACAACAAGCGATCTACAGTTTAATTTATCAACTTGCGACTTTTTTTTTTTTTAATCTGATCTCTTTCTTTTCATGATCTTTCTGATGAACTTGTAATATTTTTTTCCCCCACCTCTCACTTCTCTGTTACATGCAGGGACTTGAAAGGAAGTATGTGTTGAAAGACAGCCAGTTAAATAATAATAAGGCTTTCAATCGTTCGCTTCCTATTCTATATGCTGGAGAACTTGATACTCAACGTCCTAGAGTTGAACACAAGTGGCGAGTGATTGGTGATGATGAGCGAGAAGAAACCAACGACTCAGAAATGTTGAGGTCAAAACAACAAATGCTGGGAGGTCTTGTTCCCACAGAAGTTTTGAGCTTCCAATATCTTTGTTCCTTAGAAATAACTCACTGTAAAAAGCTGAAGTTCGTATTCTCAATGAGCACTATTGTCCACAACATCCTTCCCAAACTGACTTCGCTATCCTTATTTGATTGTGAGGAACTAGAGGAAATAATTGCAGAAAATGAGGAACATCAGATCCTGTCCAACGTTCAAGTTGGCTTCCCAGAATTAAGATGGTGGCTGTTAAGAGGTGCAATAAGCTCAAAAGACTCTTCTCTACGTCCATGGCTACCATCCTTCCACAACTAAACTCTTTGTTGATAACTGAGGCTGACCAATTAGAGGTGATTTTTGGACATAGTAGTGAAGATGATACCAACAACGGTGAGATTGTGCTTTCAAGCTTGGGGAAGGTAGATCTAACAAATTTGCCAAATTTCATGACTGTTTGTCAAGGGTTGCAGATTCAGGCGCAGCTAAGCGACATATGGATACACAACTGCCCCAAATTTGTGGATTCAAGTTTGGGAAGGGCTCTTCAACAACTGGGAACAATATCGGTATGAATAATATTCTATATCAATGTTGATTAGAGTCTTCAAAATTAGATGGAATAAGGTTTGGATTAGAATCATGTATATAAATTACCTAGCTGAAAATATACGTACTATTAAATAGGGAGCTTATAACTTACAAAGAGATGCAAGGACACGAAGAAGAAAACAATACTTGATATATGTATACAACTAGATTTTCTTTCAATTTCGCAGTACAATAGAGGAAAATGTGAAATATACGACTTCATTTCGTTTTTTTTAATATTTATTAATGATATTCTTTTTATACTTTTCATGTGCAACCATATCAAAACTTCGACCACGAAATTTCACCAAAAAAAAAGGCAATGAAAGAATAATTGTATGTGTGGCGATTTATACGAGTATGCATGCTCGGTATGCTCACATTATATACATGTATATTCTTTTCACATTCAAGTTTTAAAAAAAAAAACTTTTACTAATAAATTTGATTGTTGTGAATAGAATTTGTCCTTTTTTAAAATTGAAGTTGCGGTTGCCACAGGTTTCAACAGAAGATTCAAATGTTCAAATTTCATCAAATGTAGAAGAACAATTGCCTGCAAGTGAGGAAAAAGGGATGATCTTGATCTCAAGAGCAGAGTACTTGCACATATGGGATTCAATTAGCCTCATATCTGTATGGGAGGGTCCCACTTTCATCATCTTCCAAAATCTGAAGGAGCTATATGTGAATGATTGTAGTAGATTGAAGTGTATATTCCCCAGCGCTGTGATAAGAAGCTTACCATGTTTGTCGCATCTAGACATTGATTACTGTGAAGAGTTGGAGGAGATAATGTCATCAGAGCATCACTTCCCAAATGCATATTCCTCTCATTCCTTCTGCTTCCCACAGCTTGAGACTCTTAGCGTCTTTGGATGCAGAAAGTTGAAATGGCTCTTCCCCTCTCTGCCTTCTGCCCAACATCTTCCACAGTTGAAATATCTGAGGATTAGCTGGTGCTCTGAACTAAAGGGACTTTTTAATGGTGAACTTGAAGTCCATGACGAGGAAGGCTCCAACAACAACATGCTTCCAATGCTGAGAGATCTTCAGGTAGACGATTGCCCAAACTTCTCCAAAACCACACTTGCTGCTCTTCAAAGGTGCGCACATTTATACTACATATATCCACATCTATCCATATTTGACTTTAGATTGTTTTTTTTTTAATTTCTTATTTTCGTGACTAGTGTTATATATATTTTTCAAATGAGCAACTTGGAAATGTTGGCACCGCACACCTTACAAAATTTTTGTATTTTGGATCTTGAATTTATTTATAAAAAGAATTATAGTAAAGACCCAGATTCAGAAATTAAATATCTAGAATGCCTGTAATTAGATTTACCACTAACTCATTGCATGTTTACTACTAGTCAGCATTTACCATTCGCACAATACAAATTTACAAATAAGAACGGATTTAACATTATTTACTAGCTGGAGTAATGAGAATTATTGTCATTAGTGTCCCTTAGGCCTGATTCTTCCTTATTTGTATGCCATCTCCTCCATGATCCATCCATTTTCTTCTCAAAATAAAAGATGTAATTGATATACACATCTTGGAAGAACTGCAGAAGGAAACTTTTTTTTTCCCGTGCATTTGCTGCATGTTTTCCTCAGATTTATTCTTTCTTTGCTCTGGAAAATATAATGTCTACATATTATAGTAAACTGATTTTGAGATTGTGATTTTTCTCATATTTGTACAGACAGCAGCAACAAAACGAAGCGAAAGATGGTGATGATGATGATTGATATATATATATATATATATATCCCTGTTTAACTAAAGAGGAGGATATGTTTGAGATTGTGTCTGCCTCTGATCTCCTTCTCATTTATCACTTTAAGATGCATTGCAGAAGGGATTCATATGTCTCATGTTTATTTAAATACTTTGGTTTGTTGTCTACATATAGTAATAAAAGTTTCACTTCACACTTCTGCCTCTATATGAACGAGCATTCATTCATTTTCAATGCAATTTTTTTTTTTTGAGGTAGCATATATGAAGTTTTATAAAAAGATTTTTCTTTTCTTTTTGTTTGATTTTTCAATGAAAGGAGTTTTGGTGTTTTAGTTTCTTTCGGTTTACCAACAGAATTAAAAAAAAAAATCGACATGGTCGATGATGAATGAAATAACGTGTCAATGCTTTTTCGAGTTCAGTGGATAAAATTTTCAAGAATTTATTTTTTTTATTGAGCAGTCTTAGGGTGTGTTTGGATGAAACCAAACCGTGGTTTGGAAAAGTGATTCTGGAGAATAGATTTTGGGAAGAATAGATTCTGGAATAAATGTTATGAAAAAGTGATTTTGAGAAGTGAGAGTGTTTGGATAGTTGTTATCAGAAGCACTTTTTATATATACAAATTACTAAAAAAAAGACATAAGTTAATATGATAATTACAGAAAAAATAGATTTTATGATATATTTTAATTTGAAGGAATAAAATTGTTAATAATATATTTTTTATTAACATAATTAATAATACATAAGATAATATAATTAATAAATAATTAATATGTATATATATTTTTAAAATATAAGATTAAATATGTTTATAAAAAAATATGTTTATAAAAAAATAACAAGATACATATCCTATAGACTCTCACACTCTCCCTTTTTTCTCCAAAAGCAAAAAATTTGCTTTTTCCAAAACCATGGTTTGGTCCAAAACCACGGTTTGCCCAAAACCAGTGGGTGTTTGGGTTACTTATCACCCAAACCATGGTTTGGGATGTCACCCAAACGGAGCCTTAGTAGATCAGTTTAGATTGTAACTTAAAACATTTTGTCCACATAAATATTATTAATTTAATTAACGTTACTTTCAAATTTAAGTTTAATGACGAAAATCAGCAAAAATGAATATAAAGAGACATCCGTTCACTCTCATACGCCGCCGCCTCCGCCACCACCAACGTTACTTTCTTTTCTTTTTTTATTTTTTTTGGCAAAACATTTAATTAAAAATTAACAACCAAATAAGTTTTTTTTTTGTTTTTAAAAACAAAAAATTGTTTCCAAAACAAGAAAACAAACATCCCCTGAACTCGTTTTTCTTTTGTTTTCTTGTTTTGCCAAGTTGTTGTGGTCCCCGGATATGCATCTACTGATTTGCATAAAGATGCGTAATATGCGATGGCTATTAAGCTCTTCGATACGTATGCTAGACGTTCTGGATTGGATTTGAGCTTACAAAGGTATCATAATCATGCTCTTTGGTTTTAGATAGATCCAGCAAAGTGAGTACGGTAATCATAAAACTCAAAATTCATCTATCTATCTATTATTATTATAAGGGAGGGGTCTCCGCAAGGTCATCTAGAAGTGCGACAAGTGACAGAATGATGAGTGAGATAAATGCATCAGTTTTTTAATCATTTTGAAATAACAAGTCATCTCTTTTGCTATTTAATAAATCATTTAATAATTGTTTCATTATTGCATATCTTAGTTACCCCATGTTTTGGATCGTGCACTGTGAAATGTGGGGGGACAATTTCATTATAAATGTGGGCACGATTTATAGAACGCATATGTATGAAAGAAAAAAAAACCCCATGTTTCATATTTATTTTTAATTTATGATTACAAGTAATTTTGAATGTGGGCAGTTTTCTGAATATATGTCAGCTAATAAATTAAAACATTATCCGTTTTAGGGGTGAACGTGGACAGGTTTTTTACTAAGGCATGCTTACATTATGCCTCGTGACAGGCTTTTCTCAAAAATAAATATAATGAATTTTTATATGCAAAAAAATTCAGATATCATGTTACAAATTTATTTTTAATTTTTTGATTTCAAGGAATTTTGAACGTGAGCTATTTTTTCAAAATTAAAAATTATCTCTTTTAACGGTGAACGTGGGCAGTGTTTTTATTATAATTAAGTGAAGTAATATTTTTTTTTGTTTAGTTAGGATCATTAATCCAAAAAACGTGCCGTTGGCGGAGCTGCATGCTAAGTGCTAACAGCATGCCACGTGGCACACTGCCATCATAGATAAATAAGAATTTTTTTTAATAAAAATGAAAATTTGAAGGAATCTCTGCGGTTGTGACTTGTGATCACTCCACCACATTCCCATATTTCAAGGCTATGTTTTGGACAGTTTTCTGATTTTAAATTAATATTTTATATTTTGAATTAGTTTAATTAATATTTTAAATTTTGAATTAAAAGTAATATTTCATTAAAAAGCGGCAATTGGTTACTCCTTGGGTTCAAATTAATATTTCAGATTTTAAATTACATTTAATAATCTTTTAAATATTAAATTAATATTAATATTTCATAAAATTAAAATTAAAATTTATAGATTAAAAAAGTAGGAATTTACAAATATATTTATAAAATTAAAGAAAAAAATAATTGAATAGACTTATGAACTCACGTTGTTATGTTTTTAGGTTGAATTTTTTGAGGATGGTTAGTCTTTTAGATTTCAAATTACATTTAATAAATATTTTAAATTTTAAATTAAAATTAATATTAATATTTAATAAAAACCGATAGATTTCTAAAATAAGTATTAGTGCCATGTTTCTGAGCGTGCCTCGTTCACTCCAGTGGGAGGGCTTCATGTCTATGATCGTGGCTGGTTTCGTGTGTTTGTAGGCTCGAGAAACAGGGAATTTTAGTTTCATTTGAAGTGATCGTGTGAAGACAGTTTAGAGAAGTTGCCCCAAAGTTCTCGCAAGGCCAGAGATAGATTCTCAAGTTTGCGTATTTCATATTCAATTGAGCAAGGGATGATATCAGATGTGTGTGCTCACGGTGGCAGTAGTTCATGTGAGGTATTCAATCTTCAGAGTTTAGGAACTTTGGCACGATAGTTTCCCACTAGAAGGAAGATTTGGCTAAAGCATGAGGGGCAAATGTATGAAATCCCACATCTGGTAACATTTGTCTATTGTGCATTTTTCTTTTCTATTCTATTTTCTCTCATTCTCGAGCCCTATCCTCAGTATTTTTCTTATTCTATTTCTAGATCATTGGGATCCCACACTTGGTTTCAGACCCACTCCATCACTGCAACAATGTCTTTGTCGACCATTGGAAGACGGTGCTCCAGTGCAAGTTAGTAGTCAACAGAGACAAAGACGATGGGTGTGCGAAAATGGGCGACCAAGGTCATTCAGGAGTCGTGGAAAATGGAGGATGAAAAGTGGTAAGGTGGAGCTGCTACTGTGGTAATGGATGAGGATGGGCCATTTGTGGGGAGAGGTAGGGAGGGGTGGTGAAGGAAAAGACAGAGGGAGGTGTTGAAGGCAGCGTTGAGAGAGAGGTCCTTAGAGAGAGATGTAATGGATGGGGATGGGAGAAGGGGGCATGATGGGGATGGGTTGGAGTCAGGTGTGGGAGCCATGGGGACTGGGTTTAATGATGAGGAATTTGTAGGGGTGGACGGAGGAAGTCTATAGTCGGAAGATTGGTCGGCCATTCTAAATCTCTCTCTCTCTCTTCGCTAATCGTTGCGTAATAGGAAGTGCGTTATCACTGAGCTGCCAAGACATGTTTTGTCCAAAGCCACTCTATTACCACTGTATCCCTGACTCTTCTAATTCCCAGACTCAACCTCTTCTCCGCTATCACAATCAGGTACGTTTTAGAGTTATCGTTTTAATGATCTGCAAGTAGTTCAACCTCTCAAACAGAAGAATCCAAGGCAAGAAAACAAGAAAATTCTTGAAACTATTGTGACCATGATTCCTGTAGATAAAGGGTCAGTTTCAGTCGGTTTCTTGCTTAGACTCCTCCAAATTTCGAACATTTCGGGGTCTCCCATGTCACCAAGACAAAACTGATTAGAAGAGCAAGCCTGTAATTTGATGAAGCAACTATGGATGACTTGCCTTATGCTTCATCAATTGAGTTGGTTTTAGCAGTTTTCGAAAGTTACTTGAAGCTTTGAAAAAGAATGTCTCCTGATCCTGCAGATAATAGCCACTTCTTAAGATCAACTAAAACTTTCTTCCCCCATGCAATGTACAAACTAAAATATTTGATTTGATTTTAAATTCTAATAAATTGCATTATTTAAGATACTTCAAGATTTACTTTTTATAGGAGTATTTTTTTGTTCATTTAAATTGGATTTGAATTAGAAATGTGAAATTTAGGGGGAACATGTGAACATTTAAAATTAAATGATTATTTCTCCATTTAAACGCCTAGTTGACATATTATTTAATTATGATGCTTCCTATTTAATTCAATATATTTAAATCCCAATTAAAATATTATCTAAATTTAAAATTAATTATTAATTTTTTATTTGAGTCTCCAATTGAAATCTCATTTAATAATGATGTTCCTCATTTAATTCAACATAACCAAATTCTAATCAAAATATTATTCAAATCTCATTAATTGAATATATTATGGTCTCATAACATCATTCCTGACCCATTTTTAAATGAATCAGATATTACAAGTTTTCAATGATATTAGTTGATGATTGATTGATTATACATGTTAGGAAGCTCATTGATACTAAATCTATCTGTTACTATATACACATTCCGTCATGTCTCCATGTTTATTTAAGGTTAAAGAAATTAGGAAGTTTTCAAATTTTTGCCTTATATGTTGCATTTTTCATGAAAGTTATAAAATTAAAAAAATATAAATTTTCAATTTTCTAAGAATTTGTTTTAGATATTTTAGTTTACAGATTTTAGATTATTTTATTTTCCATACTGCTGCTTTAAGATTTTGCATTATTTTAACTTCCCTTTATTCCTATTTTGCCTCTCATGTGAACTTTTTTTTTTGGGAGTTATGAAATTAAAAAATAAA